TATATGTATACATAAATATATACACATAATTCACTACGCGTGTTGTTGTTGTGTTGGTGTATTGTTGCTGTTAAATTGGTCGTTTTTGGCGCTCATGCAAAAGGTTAATGAATGCGACATTCAGTTGTAGTAGTTGTTGTTGTTGTTTAGTGTTGTTGTTGCGGCTGCTCATGTTGTTGTTGTTGTTGTTGATGATGTTACAACTACAATTATGTGGTTGTTGTGGTTGTTGATGTTGTTAAATGCCTACATATACTGATAGCCCATGTTGCGTCCTGCCGCTGCCGCTGCTGCTGCTGCCGCGGCAACAGGTGGATAATTTGGTGCATATTGCTGGGGTATGCCCATGGCTGGGCCAGCTGTTATCATCAGCTGCGGCTCCATTTGTATTATGTTTTTATGCTCCGTTGTATCATCCTCCTTCTCGCGCTGCGCCTCATTCAGCTCCAGTTTATCCACCTTGGTGGTGTACTCGCGCAGCACCTGCCAAACACCAAACAGAACAACAACCATATTATTATAAATTGTTATTTGATTTGTAGTTGCCATTTCGTTTCGTTTTACCTGTATCAAGTAGGGCATGGCAAAGTCCATGATTTTGTGTTTCCATGCCAGTTCCAGGATAACATCGGGACGCAGCAAATCGTAGCACTTTAGAGCAGACGAGATGAATGTTATAGATTACAAATTGAACAGTTTATAGAGGCAGTGCCAGTGTCTCACCTGATATAGACATGCCGCAAAGCAATCGTGTGCATTGCGCTCCAGGAACCAGCCCAACAGCTCCTCGGCAATTTCCTGTTTACCAGATTCGGCAGCATACTCCATAGCATCCTTGTACAGTTTGTCCTTTTTGCATAGCTCAACGCTCTGCTTCCAGCGATTGTTGCCTGTAGATTTAGAGTATAACATATATATTATATTAATTATATATGATATATGATGTTATTATAATATTCCCATTCCCACCTTTGTAGAGATAGGCCGCAATGCGACGGAATTCGGTGAGCTCGTGCTTCTCCAGCTTCTGCGCCAGCGCAATGGTATCGAAGTTGTCAAATCCATCGATGGAATTGCGCAAGCCCTGGTAGTCCTCCTCATCGATGAGCAGACCATTCAGAGCCTCATTGATGGCCTTGTTATTCAGCGATTGTACGGAACGCAAATAGGGTTTCACCAGCGGCAGATATCCTGTCTTCGAGAAGTAGTTGACGGCACGGGTGTGATCCATGCGTGGAGCCAGCACCAAGAGCATGTCGTTCAAGAGCAGCGGCTTGTACTCCAAATAGAATTCCGTTGCCTTGTAGTAGAGCTCAATGTTGGCCACCTTGGTGATGATGTCCTTGAAGTGGCCCTCGCGCCACGCCTCCGTCGGATGGGCCATCATGGCGAGCACAGCATTATCATATTCCTCATATTTGTCGTAGAGAAAGACCAGCTCGGACCACAGATGCGCCGATTCGGCGGCACGCAACACCTTGGGTATATTGACGCGCGACCAGAACAGCTCCAGATGCTCGCGCATCTTCGATGGCTTGAACTTGGAGTAGAGTATTGCCAATTCGCTGAACATGCCCATGTGGGCGCGCTCGAGACCCAGCGCCGATTCCAGCAGCGCAATCAACTCCTCGAAATAGCCACGATTCTGATAGTAGTTAATCAAATCCTCCAGCTCATCGGCATGCACCACAATATGAAGGCCGCACATTTGCGCCAAACGGAACTCCTCAGCGTCCACACAGGCGAAGCAGACCTCCTTCCAGGTGCGCGTCGAATTGGCCTTGCGTGCCGAGTCGACGGCGCCCTGGAACTCCTTCAGATAGACCAGCGTAATGGCCAGACGGGCAAAGTTGCTGACATTGTTGTACAGCAGCTTGGCCGCATCGTACATGCCATCGCTGAAGCAGCGATCGCCGATCTTCTGGATGTCCGCATGATTGGGGCCCGAGATGAACTCCTCGAGATCGGCGAGGCGTCCAGTACGCGCATAGGCATAGATCAATTCGCTCTCAATGTACGATTCGCGTGCCTTCTTGCGTGCCATTTGCAGATAGCGCACCAGATCATCCCAGGACTCCACCTTGCTGGCAACATCGACAACGTCCATATAGGCGCTGGGATCATCGGCCTTGATGTACGAATCGATGGCCTCCTTGACCAGGCCCTGTTGCAGCTGTGCCTTGGCCAGCTGTGACCAGACGGCCGGCTCGTTGCAGCGCTCGGCAAACTCATTCGCGCGCTCCAAGTTGTTCACCTGATCGATCAGCACCTGAATGGCCGAGGTGTTCACATCGAACTTCTTGAAGATGGCGAAAGCCTCCTCGTACAGCTGATTGCTGATCGCAATGTTGGCAATGTCTGGTGCATCGTAGTTGTCCAAGCGATTGATGTAGTCCATGACACGAGTGCGATCCGCCTTGATGGCGGTCAGGATCAACAGATTCTGAAGATTGCGATGATCGCTGAAGACGGACGAGTCCAAGATGATCTTCTCGAGCAGTTCGATCAGCTCGTTGGGCAAATCGGCGGTCATGAATGCCTTGACCGTAACAGAGATATCATCGGGATCCTGTGTCTCCGACAGCGCTGTCTGCACCACCTGATCGATCAGTTGACGCTTGTAGGGATTTGCCTCCGACAGCACCTCGGCCCACAGCTCAGCATCGCGACGGCCAACCAGATAGCGTGCCTCGCTCTTGAACAGCGAATTCTCATTGCAAACGGCGATCAGTTCACGATCGCATTGACCCCGTTCATAGGCGACGCAGGCCAAGTGCGGATCACGCTTCTCACAGTAACGTCCGACGACGCGGCTGTCGTAGTATTGATTCTCCTTGAGGAATCGCTCCGGATTGTTGTTCGAGTCAATGTAGATCTTGGCCAGGGCATTGTGGGTGGCCGGCTCAACGCAGCCCTCATGGACGCGCGACTCCAGCCAGGGCAACAGCAGTTTCAAGCGATTACGCTTCTCCACCTCCTCCACCAGCTCATCCGTGGAGAACTGACCCTTAACGACGAGAATTAGGTTCTTGATGATATCCTCACTGCAATCGACATCGAGCAGACCGCCCACCACAACCGGCAAACGTGATGGATTCACCTTCTGCACATAGATCTCAATATATTTCTGGAGATTGTTGCGGTACAGATAGAGCACCAGATCGTGCACGAAATCGAAACGATCGCAGACAATAATCAGGGGCAATTGATCAGTCAGCTTGGCCTCCTTCAGGAAATTCTTGACACGCTCGGGATTATAGCAATTCGATTCGCGACAGATGCGCTCCACCTCCTTGATCTGATTGGTTTTACAGGCCGCCTGTATGTACTTGAAGTGCACCTCCGGATCCTGCGAGAAGTTCACAATGCTGCTCAGGAAATAGAACAGGCCATCGTAGCTCTTGAAGCTCTCAAATAGATCAATCAGCGCCTTGGTGGTCAATTGCTCGTGATACTTGGTGGCGATCTGCACACAAATCTGCAAATTCTGGCGCAGATTAGCGGTGAGCATGGCCTTCAGGCACTCCAGTGAATCCTCCACCGAGAGTGTGCCAAAGAAACTGACCAGCCACTCGGCATTCAGCATATGCGTATGGACAACGGCGCGCTTGATGTCGTACAGATCCGTATAGTGTTCCAGGGCGCGCTGCAGCAGGCCGGCCTTCTCGCACAGCTGGGCGATATGGGCGCGATCGTAGTGGGTGAACATGGCGTTGCCCAGAATGGCATCAGCCACCTGCGGTGCCGACAACAGATTCATTTCGAGCAGACGCGTCTGCAGTGCTCCCTCGGCGGGACGATTATGCTTGAGGGCATCCAGCAGAAAGGCGGTGCATTGCTGCACCATCGAATGCTCCATAAAGATGTCCACGATCTGATTGATGTCGGCCAGCGGCTCCTCTTCGGCCACCAGCATGGAGGCAAAGCCGGCGCCCTGCTCCGGATTGCTGCGCATCACCGAACGCAATAGGAATATATAGTCGGGCGTGTAGTTGACCTTCTTGGCATAGAGCACGATCTTCTGGAATTGGCCCGTTTCGGCAAAGCATTGGATCACCTTGTTGGGCACATTGGCGCGCAGATAGATGGAGAGAGCGAGCGTTAGATCCGATGTCTTCACCAAGTCACCCAGCTCCTCGCTGCACTCGAGCTTCTCCTCCTTCAGCCACTTCTCGCAGAGCTGCTTCTTGCCCTGCAGGAGCACGGGACGACAGAGCTCCAACGACTCGAACTTATTCAGTTTACCCTGATCGAGCAGGATGCCAAAGTACTGCAAGAGCGGCGGTGTTGTCGAACCGGCTGGCGTTTGCACCTGCTGGAAACGTTGAATGGTCTGCGGTGTGCGTAGAATACCTTTTGGGGCCAATGCAGCCACCTTGGCCGCCTCGGCGTATTGGCCAGCGCCAAAGAGCTTATTGAATTTGCGCACAAACAGATCCTCAGCGCCAGCCAAATTGTTGCGCACGGCCATGCGCAGGGCGAGATCGGGATTCTGGAGCACCGTATTGATGTAGGGTATGATCTGTTCCTCGTCGACGGTCACGGACAGCACCTGGCCCTTGCGATTGACGCCAATGATGCCGCCGCTGGCCTCGTGCGGTGCGGTCACAAAAATCGTATCGGCCGATATGCGATTCATGTAGATGCACGTGGCCGTTTCCATATCGTACAAATGGATATATCCATATTTGGTTATCAAATAGATGGTATCGTATTTGGCGGATACTTGCATCGCAACCGGAAAATCATTTTGTGCCTCCGGCGGAAAGAAGACATCGACCGCCTTCTTCGGGAATGGCTGATTGCCATTCGGTGGCGTTCCCACCTCAATGATGTGCAGCTTGCCACCGGTTGCGGTGCGCACGGCGAAACAGAACAGCGTGGTCGGCTCCTTGTTGCCCTCGATCTTGAAGGTGGCAAAACTGGCGGCATGTCCCTCAATCGCTTGCGACACCTTGCGCTCCACCGAATACAGTTGCATGGCGCCAGCGACACGGCTGGGCAGCGCCGAGATGCCAACGAGCAGCAGCCACTGCTGGGAGGCATTGCAACGATAATTGATGATCTGACAGCCATTGAGCGAGGAATGCCTATCGAACATTTTCTGTGGCATCGAATCGCCCTCCATCGACCAGTGATAGACGCTCGTCTCGGTGACCAGGGCGAGCGTATTCAGCGATATCCATTTCCAGAATACCACATCCTCGTTCATCGTGTGCGCCTTCATTTTCGACTTCATCTCAATGTTGAAGATCTGCAGTGTCTTTTGCGCTGCACAGAATTGAATAGAGAAACAAAGTTGAATTATCCAAGATTTTGTCCCCGATTGAAATGAATTTGCTTACCTTTGAGCGCAATCACCTTGCTAGCCGGATTCATAATGGCCGAGTCCGCGGATATGGGACGGCGCGTCGGATTCGATGAGTCGTTCATATCAATGATGACCACCTGGGCGGTATCGTTCGTCTTCTCCCGCACACAGATGAACTTATCCGACTCCATTGTGAGCGTGCTGAATGAGAAGGAGTTCGGATTGATGCCGACATTTGTGAGCTGCAAAGAGTAGCAAAGGGGAATATGTATTCAATACTCATTTCATATTGACTTTCAATAAACTAATATCTAGACTAGACTAGACTAGATTATTATCTATACTAACTGGATTATTTGATTATTATTCAAGATCTTCAAGCTTAAATTGAACTATCTATTTATTAGTTGATTATAGATCAGTCAGCAAATCGGAGAGTGAGAGATATTTAGTCACGTTTTGCGTGAGCGTTCGCATGCACTGAGACTGAACCCAAGAGATCAGCATTATCATTAGCATTAATCATGATGCTGTGTGTGCCACCCTCGTCTATTTTGCTAGCGAAATCAAAACATTTCTATAAAACGCAATTGGCACACTAAATATATATGTGCATATATATATATGTATATAAAAAAACAAACCCTTTGCAAATTCGCCTCTTGTTCTACAATCTAAACGTTGATCGTCTGGTCAATACTTAAGGTGTAAACAGCGGCGAGAAAAGTTCAAGGTTTTGCGATCGATAAAGCACTCTCCCTCTCTCTCTCTCTCACTCTCTCTTTGAAGTCACACACACATCAGTCAGTCCCACTCTCTCTCTCTCTCTCTCTCCATCTTGATCATTTTATCGGTAATACAAGCAAATTTTTATATATATACACATTTTTTGGCGTCTGTTATACGAATATATTTATGTGTATAATTGTGTGCGAGTGGAAATTTAGTATAAATGCAATGCACTCAAACAAAGGCAACAAAGAGAAATTGCGAAGAAAGCAACAAGGCAAGCAAAAAACATGTGTTCTCTATGCAGCAAAGAAATTAAATCAAATGACGTTTTAGCATTTAATATTTCTATTAATACGCTTTCATTTGAAATAAGCCAAGAATTGAATCGAACAGCTTGTGAACGCCTCTCTCTGCGATTTTCAGATATGAAGAATATCACTCACATAAGCTGAACTGTATTTTAAGATCAGTTGGGAGCTATCAAATAATCATAATCATAATGATCACCTTTAGCTCAATTAAAGTTAAGCTAAGTTCTATAAGCGGAATGCACATACAGCTGTGTCCATAAAAATAGTAATCTGATCAACAAATTTAGAGCTAGATTTATATATAGAAATAT